TTATTGCACTGCATTGTACGAGGTCACGTTAAGTGCATACCAGAGACTATAACAGACGTGAGCTAAAAAATGTTGCTTAAGTTCGTTCTATCGGTAACGCCTGAATACTTTGCAGAAGAGATATGCAGGACAGCGGTAAGCATTCTCGTCAAACTCGGCAAATACTTTGACGCACAATCTAACCTAAACAGCAGCCCGCTGAGTTTCCCGCCGGATCTTCTCAGCGGGTCGCGATTACGATCCGGTAGTAGATTCACTCACGAAGCAGCCGCTCTTAAGTTGTTTAGCAAATCCTATCCCTCCTAAGACCGTGCTCACCTGTCCTAGCGAAACTGGAAAAGCCAGCAGGCCACCGGTAATCCTTCATTTCTAATAATAGATAAAAAATAAAAGATATGTGCAGGACAACGGTGTCAGTCGGGGCTAAGCAGTTACTATGCCAATAAATTTTTAATTAAGTACAAGTCGCTAGAGAACACATACCCACTGAGTTTCTCGCCGGATCTTCTCAGTGGATCGCGTTTCCGATCCGGTGGTAGATTCTGCGAGGCACTGCTCTTGCTAGGGTCAGTGTTAGCATCACTCCGATTCGAGCCCCGTGAGCTCACCTACTAGTTAAGGTTGCGCTGAAATAGCCACTCAAGGTAGGAAAAAAAAATTGGAGAACACGTGTTTGATAAAACAATGTATCCGTTACCCACGACATACATCACACAGATCGATACCAGTTTGATTGACCCCCGTTTGTTGGATTAGATTTCGTTCTTCGATACGCGACCACGTGAATACACATAGCTTTATTTTCCTTTCGTACGCCCGCATGACTGACTGACGCAGTAAAAAGAAACCTACAAATAAATAACCTAAATTTTACACGCGAAAAAAAACTTTGAACTAGATTTCTCTCTACGAGTACCTAGTACGTGTAATTAAGAATATTTAAGAATACTAGTGGTCCCCTGGTAGTCGAAATTCGACTATAACTAATGGAAATTATAAGTTTGTACACTATTATGATTCTATTGTCAAGGGCTAATATAATTCTTTTTAATCCCAGATTTCGTCAAGACTACACTAATAGAAATATTAATAAAGATTAAACAATATTTAATCTATTCTCAATTTGACAGACTATAACTGACAGATTGCAAAGAAAAGTTTGACAATATACTTCACAATGCAATAAACAAATAGTATGCATGCGTGTGTGTGTGAAATACATGGTAGTGTGTGTAATGTTTTCTTTATTGATTTAATGTATCTTGCATTATTTAAAAAAAAAATTAGCATTGTGCACTTCTTCTCTATAATCTCTATAAGTGTGGAAAATTTCATACTCCTCCGTTCGCGCAATTTTCGTAAAAAGGGATACAAAGGTTTTGCTTCACGTATTAATATATAGATACTTTTACTGTGGAATCTCGGGCTTATACGAGTAGTGCAACGTTGTCAGTGACCACGAAATATAAATATGTACTATTCAAAACGTCTGAAATAGTTTACTAACAATAATAAATCAGACAATAAACCATCAAAGTAGTTTTAATTATGTTTTCGACTCACAAAAATTGAAATTCTCTAGTTTGTTGTATAACATAGATTAAACATACCAATTTTTTTTTTGTTGTTGTCTATACTTAAAAAAAGAACAACGTTTTTTCATTAAGAAGCCTCAAATTTCACGACAGATTAGTGATATTGGATATGATAATATTATATAGAACAGATCCGCACCATTCTCATCTTAAATTAATATTTTTTGGAATACAACAAACGGACAATTAAAGAAGTAAAAATAATGATTTGTACCAGTGTGATAATTAAAATTTACAAATTTTTCATAACAAATCATTCATACGATCACAATGTATAATTTAGGTAAATTATTTTGTGTTTTAAACTTGACTATCTCCATGACTTTAATTAATACGTATTTCTGTATTTAGTTTAACTATTTTTTAATTTGATCTTAATTCCTATGAGCACTTTTTACTGGTGGCAGGACCTCTTGTGAGTCCACACGGGTAGGTACCACCACCCCGTCTGTTTCTGCCGTGAAGCAGTAATGCGTTTCGGTTTGAAGGGCGGGGCAGGCTTTGTAACTATACTGATACCTTAGAACTTATATTTCAAGGTGGGTGGCGCATTTACGCTGTAGATGTCTATGGGCTCCAGTAACCACTTAACACCTGTGGGCTGTGAGCACGTCCACCCATCTAAGCAATACAAAAAAAAACTTAAAGCGTTATTGATGTAAAACAATTAATTATTCAATAAAACAATTAATCATTTTGTAGGCACATTCCCTAACACTAAGCACAGACTACGGGCCGCGGCGCCAAATGAAATTACACATCACTAATAGCCACTTACGAGTTTTAAACACCATCCCACTTGTCGATGACTTTTCGATGCCACATGTTCCCCCTTATCTGAATCATGCTGGAGACATTAAAACGTGGATATCATTACTGACATTATCGCACAGTTCGAGTAACAAACAAAGAATGAGTAATATTATATCTGCAACTACGCCCACAGTACGATAATGCTATTGAAATACGCCTTAACTTGTTATCGGATACGTCGGGGTAAAGTTTAGTATAACGGTCGCACGAGTCGACTTGAACGGGTTTTTACGTTCAGGATAAACGATTTGCACATTCTTACACATCCACTAACAATCTTACTAGACGCCTGAAGCCCTAACACTAGGAACAGGCTTAGGGACCCTGGTAAACGTATTCGTCGAAGAGTTGGTAGTGGAACTGAACCCATAATACCAGCTCGCTGAGGCTCTCGCGACTCTTGAGTTTTTTATTTATTGCTTAGATGGATGGACGAGCTAAACATCTACAACGCAAATGCGCCACCCATCTTGAGATATAAGTTCTAAGGTCTCAAGTATAGTTACGACGGGTGCCCCGCCCTTCAAACCGAAATGTGTTACTGCTTCACGGCAGAAATAGGCAGGGTGATGGTACCTACCCGCGCGGACTCACAAGAGGTCCTACTCCAGTGATTACGCAAATTATAGTTTTGCGGGTCGCGATTTCGATCTGACAGTAAATGCATTCGCGAAGCAGCAACTCTTGAACTGTTAGGTATCCTTCTGTCATCCTGAAAGCTGTAAGCAAATCCCTACCTTCTTAAATGAGCCCAGCCCGTACTCGCCCAACTATCGTAGTAAATCTGGAAAGGCCTAAATCCTAATCCTTCCTTTCTAAAAACACAGATGTTTAAAGAAAAATGTACACGCAATACCTGTCTAATCAGCAACGGACAGAAGCGCACTCAAAGATGCAAAAAGACGTGTAATTATTTAAACACTTAATTTACTTATACATATAACAAGGCCGTCATCGACACGAGTGCCAATTAAAAAACACCCCAACACTAGTGACGCACAGACCGGCTGAGATATCCATATGTGGATCTGTGACAATATATTTGAATAATTTATTAAAGGTAATTAAAAAACGTATGATATATGTAGCTCTCGAAGGTAATCCAATGTAATTCGTTCGTAAGAATTTTATTGCGCCAACGATTCGTAGCGTCAAAAAGATTCCATCTCCGCAACTAGCTCATCATTTGCAGAACGTGAAAAACTGAATTAGTCTATCTGAATGCGAGTCGTAAGTAATTAGCCCCGGGAGACACTCGTTCCGTTCGCTCTCGTAAGCGGAGCGAACCGAAGATAGAGCCGCCACGAGAGCTAAAATGACTAATCAAATCCTTTCCAGCTCTCGACGGGGTTCGAGGGCCTTTTTATTCGCATTGTGACATGAAGTGTCAACTGTAGACTACCTACGTACGTCGAGTACTGTAAAACAAAAAAAAAAACATGAGATTTCATTGCAGCCGGTTGCGATTTATTCGCTTTTGCCTAATAAAAAAAAATACCTTACGTCACTCTAGAACACCAAATAGGATTTAATCTTTTTAACTAGGTAACATCAAGATTTTCATTATTATTCCCTTTGTCATTCTCACCTAGAGCTTGGCAAAGGATATATTTATGTTCTAATGCGATTTTGTTAGACATTTTACGATCGCTCGCATGACGTTAAACCTTCTTGAGAATAATAGCTTTTAGAATAGGAAACGAGGCTATGATTTAGTTGAGGAATGAAGCTCCGAAATGAAGTGTGCATATATTTTGTACTAGTTTCCTTTCGTCTAGTTTGGTCTAGTAGTTCGTTCCTGTTTTTCTACTGCTCTTATTGGCTCAGAGATATTGTTTTCTGGATTTAAATCGAATGACGTACGCCCATTACTGAATACATTAAAATACAAAATAGGTTTTATACTGGATTATTTTTAAGAAAATGCACAAGTTATCCCTAATAAAATACATACTAACGAATGAACGAATACATACTAATAAGAGCAAATAGGTATTCTAGTTTATTTATCTACGTCTCTTATGAAAGAAAGACGATTAATTTAAAGTTTATGTAATAATAAAGGTTATGTTAATATAAAGATTAAGTTTTGCCTTTTTGGCGGGAACGTGAGGAGTGAAGTTGTCTGATTTGTTTTATTTTGTCTATTTCGTGTTTCTTCAGGTTTAAATATGTAATAACGGTGGCTTATTAACTGTTTAAAATGAAACAAAGCCACTGGACGTACCTTCTCGGGATCCTCCAAAAAGTCCACTGAAAAATTTTCAGTCAATGACCACCATTTTACTGAGATTATATTTCATTCCATATCATCTCATTTCATTTAATTTCATCCCAGTTGATTAATGTCTCAAATTAATCATTTTCATTTCATTTCATTTCACTCCATATTATCATTTTTCAGAAAATTAAGAATATTAATTGAATAAGACATGACTTAAAAGTCTTACTTACCAGGCCATAAAATCCCTTAAAAAAAAAGATTAAGTTTTCAGCCTTTACGACTTGAATATCTACAAAGTAGCATTATCATTTATTTATAAACGCTTAAACGAACATAATATATTAAAGAATTTTTTTAAATCTTTCCAGAGAGTTCTACTACATCCAAATGGAGAAGTACGCTCGGCAAGCGATCAGCGAAGGTCTGAAGGCGGCCGAAGACCTGCATGTTGCCGGCGACTCTGAACTTTACAGAGTCCTCAACTTGCATTACAACAGAAATAACCACATCGAGGTTAGTTTCATAGAACCTATCAAACTCAACGAATCGAATATAAAAGATAATCTTTTTACATTCCATTAAATGTCATTAATGATTTAAATCCAAATTGAACTAACCTCAAATCGGTCATGGCTTAAAAGAAAAAGCATTTGTGGTAGGACCTCTTGTGAGTCCGCACGGGTAGGTACCACCACCCTGCCTATTTCTGCCGTGAAGCAGAAATGCGTTTCGGTTGGAAGAGCGGGGCAGCCGTTGTAACTATATTGAGACCTCAGAACTTATATCTCAAGGTGGGTGGCGCATTTACTTTGTAGATGTCTATGGGCTCCGGTAACCACTTAACACCAGATGGGCTGTGAGCTCGTCCACCCATCTAAGCAATAAATAAATAAAACTATGCCACGCACTTCACTGTGCCACTGACCGATATAAGTGGCTACAAATTGCAAAAAAAGGTCACAGGCGGGCGCATCACGATGCTCAGCAATGAGCGATTGATTGAAGGAGGGGGAGTTTGTGGAGGAGGAGAACTGTGTATAAAATGTGATTTATATTCTTTCAGGTACCTTCGAACTTCAGATATGTGGTTGAGCAGACTCTGCGCGAGTTCTTCCGCGCCATCCAGGGCGGGAAGGACGCCGAGCAGAGCTGGAAGAAGTCGATCTACAAGGTGATCTCGCGGCTCGACGACCCCGTGCCCGAGTACTTCAAGTCGCCGAACTTTCTCGAACAGTTGGAGTGAGCNTATAAAATGTGATTTATATTCTTTCAGGTACCTTCGAACTTCAGATATGTGGTTGAGCAGACTCTGCGCGAGTTCTTCCGCGCCATCCAGGGCGGGAAGGACGCCGAGCAGAGCTGGAAGAAGTCGATCTACAAGGTGATCTCGCGGCTCGACGACCCCGTGCCCGAGTACTTCAAGTCGCCGAACTTTCTCGAACAGTTGGAGTGAGCGCGGCGCCGACGCGACGCACAATAACTTTCGGCATAACTAAACAAATTGGACGAATATTTCGCACACCAAAATTTTACGACACTCGCATTTAGGCCTTCAGATTCAAAATTATTGATTAAAAAAGTTTAATTATAAAAGAAATTATTAAAGTAATGAAGTTTGAATACGTGGTCCGTTGGACGTCGATCGGCGTGACGTGGGCGTGACGTGGCGTGACGTGACGCAGGCGTGACGTGTCGCGCCACCGCCGTTGCGCTCTTTAGAAAATTCCTTAGGTTATAACGAGTCAGAGAAAGTTTAAGTCACCTAGAATTTTATTTCTGCACATAATAATATATTTCGCTATATATAATTATTATTATTATTATATTATTAAGTATTATCTAAAATGGTTTTTATAGTTGTGTATATCTTAAAATCATTTATTGATTTATTCATTAAGCAAAACGATTAATATATTAACTGCTTAAGTTTAGATTTTTTGTTGTTTTTTTTGTCCATTTCTTTCTTTATTACCTTGGTTCCCGTGCCTCCTGCATGCCTTTTGTTTAGTCCTTGTAGTGTATACTTTCTATTCGTAGTCTGGAATTGTCAACCTTTACCTCCGCGTAATTATTTTAGTGATAATTCATAAAAGTTAACCATAGTAATTAGTGCAATAGAGCAGGGTTATTTTTCGATCCACAAAACGAAGAATTTCATAGATTATTTTTATACACAAAAACCGGTTTTCGTTTTCTTGCAGAGTTCTAAAATAGTATTAACAGTTCGCGTACAAAATTCGAAAATCGATTAAACATCCTAAGTTTTTATTATCGAATTGTACATCCTTGGTTCGTGTTTTATCAATAGTTCGGCACGTTCGGATCGCGGTTTCAGTTGATCCGGATTATTTGCGGGATTAGTTTCGCTCCGGATATAGGGTTAGGGTTATTCGTTTTAATAAATATACTGTTTCACAAAAAAAAAAAATTTAAAAAATGCGCGGGAGATGCGATACATTAAGGCGAAAGCGGAGAGCTACACGACATACATATATACTTCTATGTTAGGGTTTAATAGAAAAAAAAATATTCTGTAACAATAACTTAGTTTCAAACTTTAAATATGCACGTATTTTCTTCGGTTTTTCCCAAGTCCTAAACATAATTAAAGCCACTTTTACCTATGGGTTAATCTCTAATTTTTTATTGTCCTTTTTTTATTCCGAAACTTTACCGTCTTCGAATGCTGTACAGTTTTCGAATGCTTTACAGTTTTCAAATACTGTACAGTTTTCAAATACTGTACAGTTTTCGAATACTATACAGTTTTCGAATGCTTTACAGTTTTCAAATACTGTACAGTTTTCAAATACTGTACAGTTTTCAAATACTGTACAGTTTTCGAATACTATACAGTTTTCGAATACTTTACAGTTTTCAAATACTGTACAGTTTTCAAATACTGTACAGTTTTCAAATACTGTACAGTTTTCGAATACTATACAGTTTTCAAATACTGTACAGTTTTCGAATACTATACAGTTTTAGAGATTAAGCCCTAAAAGTAATGTTAATTATGTTACATCCCAACCTATAACAGATTACACTATACAAACAAACGATTTTTAATTACTTTTAATCAGACAAATCATAAATTTAATTCCATTGTCGTGCAAAGCTTCGCAAAAGCACACCACGCGGCGGCCATCAATTTAATAGATATTTTACCCAGATCCAAAACAGAAGCAATAGATACGAAGGCAAACATATCAATAAACCGAATCCCGACTGTTTATGTACGTCTTAAACAATATATAAGTACATATATATTCACACACACACACACACATGCACACACAGTTTAGTAAATACATTTACCGTAACGCACTGGGCCAAAATGTCCGAACAAAAGTGCCTTCAGAGAAACATGTTGATTTTTATACATAAAATAATTAAAATTTAATAGCTATGGGCCCTCAATAGCACCGGATGCCCGCTGAAGCTGCCGCGTGGTGTCTTAATCTGCTTTCAGAGTACTCTATAATATAATAACATATAGTATATAACTCATAGCACAACAATATCGCGCACCATACTTTGGCTATGGACACGTTCAAACTATAATGTGCTATATCGCATATACGGTGCGATAACGTCACTTATGCAAATTATGTAATTTTTCAGGAGAAACGTTGGTAAATTCAACATCTAAAGGCTTCGTCAAACAGAACGCGTACTTAGCGCGCGTCAGAGCGTGACGGCATGTCACTATAGTAGTACATCACATGTCGGCGTCATAGCGTAGCGCTCTGACGCGCGATAATTACGCGTTCTGTTTGACGAAGGCTTTATTACATAATTCTTATACAGTTCTGCTAGACTATAGAAATAAAATGATAATATTTAAACTACAAACTTCATCAGTAAAAGCAAACATCTCTCTCGTCTCACTATTAAGTAATAACTAAAAAAATGTATTTTCTTATACACAGTTCTTCAGTGTTAACGAAAATTGCATAAGTGACCTTATAGCATCATATGTGCGATATATTATTGGCTAATAAGTATACGCTGCTATACTATACGGCACTATAGTATAGCGTAGTCTGAGAGCAGTTTTGAGCATCTACCCGCGCCCGCATACATACACACTTACTATACTATAGATTGATAATTAGTTTGATCAGTAGACGTACGTAGCGCGGCGTGACCGTAGCTCGGAGCCCAGGCCTGGTGGTCCTCGACCCCACCAGCCGTCGACCCCACCAGCGGTCGACCCCACCAGCCGTCGACCCTGGCGACTCCAGGCCGTCGGGAACGAGCTGGTCCCCGTTCGCATATCTCAATGTATCTGTTATATGTAGTCGCCGGCCGTTGACCCCGCCACGCGGCACACAACCTCAATTCACATCTTCAGTTAAACAGACGTATTTAAATTTATTTCGCTTCTCTATATATATACATAAAACGGTAAGATAGGTAGTTTAAAAGAGATGTATACTTGTATATATAATTACGATAGTTTTATTACGGATGACACGATTTAAACGTATAACTAACTATCTTAACGATAACTGTGTTTTGTTAGGATGCAATAGACACTGTTGATTGAGTTATCGTTTGCGGGGTTATATTTAAAAAAAAAAAAATTCGAAAAAAAAAGAAGAAGACATTACTCCATCTTTAGTTTCGAGTAAGTTCGCGCGGGTTCCACGGTCGGCCATAGCTAAGCAAGTGTAAGCATTCTTCATTTGATATTACGTGTTTGTTAACGTTTTATTTGTAACTATTTTAACTAGTACGATAAGATAAGATGAGTACCTCAGCTTAGGATGGACCAGACGTCGACTGGAGTGCTCGCAGTAGCAGGTTAGGTGAGACTCAGAGAGATACGGAAGCTTATTAAGACATCGACACATAGACCATTCATACAGCCTCCCCCTATTTTCCGATCACCGATTTTACGTTCGAAATCATCCCCCCGATCGGGCTTACGACGTTTGTTCAAATTTTGAACTTTCAATGCGACATGTTTAGTTCGAATTTCGCGAGTCGCAGACGTAATTAAAAACACTTTTATGTTCATTGTCATTGTTTTATTTTGGATTTTTGATTACTACGAGTATACAGTTTTCTGCAAGACTGCTGTGTCGAAGATCGTGAGTTGGATTCCCAAGCAAACATTCGTGTGATAAACAAGTTTGTTTGATCTTTTTCTGGGTGTTTATTATCTATAATTCTATATATCTAAACACGTTTTTAAAGTATTTATGTCAGTCTCTGGTACCCGTAACATAGAGAATCCTAAATTGAGGTAAATCGAGGCAATGACAATGACAATAACAAAAACCCATAAAAGTAGTTTTAATTAAATCTGAGTTTAATGAGCATTTTCGGAATTTGGATAAATGTATGTTCGATCGATCAATACCCAATCACATCCACCACTCCCAAGAACAATAGCCCGGATTCTTTTTCCACTGTTTACGTAGTTCATAGGGCATGGACGCAGTCGCCGCTGGGCTTATTCGATCCACCATCGTTCCGTTACTTGTATTTTGTTATGTTACAAATGTTATTTGTTTTATCCTTACAGTAAGCGATGACGAGGTAGAGCTAAAAAGATTTTATGAGACGCGAAACGAACTCTTAAAAGTAATCACATTTTTAAATTACATTAAAAACGTATGCTGACGAAAGCCGGTGCCGAAAACGAGTGAAAAAAAAAAAAAAACAATATGGCGACTCGGTCGGTGTACCTACGTCATGGATTTCTTTTTAGCTCTAAATGGTCAGTTTTTATCGTGTATTTGATTCCGTGTATATTAGGTAATTCGTTATTCCGATCTCTCCATAGTACATACATAAATCTTAATATTTAGAAGTGTTATCGCAGGCCACAACAACACACATTACAATAGAAAACGTATTGATTTCCACACACAGATTTTATCAACCGACACGCCATGATTTTCGAGATATTTGGAGCCAAATCTCGTATGTTTTCGGTCCGCAAAAATCAAACAGAACGTTTTTGAATTAAGAAAGTTGGTTTTTTTTTTTTTTTTGTCGTATATTTAAGTCCGGATTTTCAGCTATAGCTCACTGCGCATCAGCAACGAGACCACAATGGATACAGAGACGCGATCGAGCCGATTTCAAATTCGTTCTGAATTCAAATAATTTTTAAGTTATTGGTTGACAATGTTTTTTTTTTTTTTTTTTAAATTGTTCAAAATTTAAAAAGCTTAAGCCTCAAGTGAAACATCGAAATGTTTATCCACAGTGATCGCGGGTGACGCCCATTGAGAAAAGTACAAAATTCGGTGTTGTATATTAAATGCTCATGTTTGTAACTTATATATATATTATATTATATGTAATGTATTTAAAGGGATTGCACGTTTTGGCGACGACAGTTCATCGTTTCATATTTTGTAAATTTAGATGATAGTTTTATTTCTGTTCGAACGAAATTAATGTAAAATTACTATTTAGTTTACAAAAAAATTTAAAAAATAAAAAACGTAGTAAATGTAAAAAAATAAAATAAAAATTCTTTTGTATTTTCGAATCCGTCTACAAATGTTTGGATTTATCATTGTGAAATTGATTAAAATAAATATGTGATGATTATTTTCAAAATTATATTTAAAAAAAAAAAAAAATTAAGAATAAAAGAAGAAGATGATGAAACAATAGAATATGTAGTGTGTTCGGTTCCACGTTTGGGTATCATGGTTCCTAAATTTTTCGAAATTGTAATAGATTCTATTGTACGTAGCGTTTCATTTTTGGATGAAGAAAACATTTAGATTTACCGAATCTAGCTGTATTTATCAATTTTTCTATACGTGAAACAAAGACCCATTAAGAGTTACGCTGATCATTAGGTAGTTATTCGTATAAGTATCGTTCATAATATTACAAAAACAATAATAATAATATATTATATGTATATTATTATAAATGATGGAATTATGAATAATTG